GTAGTGTCAACCTACATCAAGATGAAGCAACATCACCAATCGAACGATGGAGATGACTAGATTGAGATTTGAGAAATGCAAAACAGTTATAGTAAGTCATACTTCTGATAAACACTTGTAACTAGAAGGGGAAGGAGGTGAAAAAGATTAAATATTACAATTAATCATTCAGTTCACTTAAAAGTAGATGGGCTCATGATGTTTTCTCATGAAAACTAGATTAATTGCCTGACCTCAGTTTTTTAGTGCATACTCAAGTCTTCAAAGATTGATATTGAAGAAAGCTAATGGCACAAAACGGTATTACCCTTTAAAAATGAAGGGGACATCTGTATAATTGAAGTTGGTTTCTACAATTTCAGATCTTGTATCTTCCGTAGGCTCTGAGGCTCTTCTTTCACAGGTTTCAGGGTTACAAGGTTTTGAAGATGATGAACAACCTTCAGAAAATGATTTACAAATGCCGTGTCTCAATGATCTTATATGCTGTCCAGCAGAAATGACCAGCAAATCATCTGAGTATCTATCAGCATCTCTGACCGCAAGATCCTCTGCAATAACATCATTTCCATATCCATCCATAACATTATAAGAAGATGCATGAGTGTGCATACATGTAAGCATCGTAGAAAGAACTCACCAATAAATTGAATTAATCGACGACTTATTTAACTAGCCAGTGTCAATAGACGGGTGAAAATGTCATCCATTGATGAGTAGAATCCCAGACTATCAAAAAGAAGACTTGTGTTCCACACAGTATCATCTGATACAAGGACCTATATTAGATCTTTAAGCACAAGGTCTAAATCAAACTGACAAAACTAAAGATGCCAAATTGAAACTTCAAACCCCCATAACCTTATTCCTTATGTGGGATAACATAAAAAAGAAATATAAAAAAATCGATAAGCTAATTATAATTTCTTTGCTAATCTTGATCAAGAATAAGAAGGTTACAATAGAGAAGAGATACAACAAACATACAGAAAAAGTAGAGATAATTTGCAATAATGCACAATCGTAAAGTTGAAAAGTACTCACTGCGAGAGGCATTTTGGATATTTCATTTTCAATATAGACATCACCCATTAATTCTTCGAATCCTGAATTATGCAACAAAACTATTAAGGTGATACAACAAGACAACTTAAAAGGACGAAACTTTGACACAATCAGTATATAACAATAAGAACCCAGATGAGTAAATCAATCATATGAGGAGAAAAACACAACAAATCAACCCCATTCTTTCAACATACTGAACTTAAGTAACTCATCATCAAAACAAAATGTAATAAAGATATCATATAGCAACTTACAGTCAAAGAAGGACAATCTGCAGAACCCAGAAACAGCCTGTGGCTCAGCAGAAGCAAAGCCAATTTAATTTATAGACGGAAGAAGAGAAGGAACAAAAATCTGCAGACCCCATTTCCAAGGAAGTTTAAACTTGCTAAACATGAGCTGCCATAATTATGAATCCCATCAATAAACATAGAAGAAAATGAAGTGAAAGAATAGACTAAAAGAAAGTGGCTGCAGAAATGTGTCTGCAATGACACAATATTCCTGGGGTCAAAAGGTGGTGCATCTGATACAGTTCTTGCTCGAAATATCGGCTTCAACGAAGAAAATGGCACACGTACCTGGGAAAAATGCGACAGACCCACCCTGGCACCCAGACCCTAAACCCTAAAGAACCAGACCCGCCTATCTCCGCATAGCTCCTCCTAGACCCGCCTAGCGCCGCCTAGACTCGCCTAGACCCTCCTAGTGCAGCCCAGACCCTCCTAGCGCCGCCCTGACCCTCCCAGGCCGCCGAGGTCGATCTTGAAATTTGCAGGATTAGATCGCTCCCGACAAACATTCGTTGGCAAAAGTGAATTTCGTCGGGAGAGGTCTAATTCAGCAAATTTTTGCCGAGATATACCTGTGCCGACGAACTTTCGTCGGGAGAGGTTTTCTCGCTTTTTTTTTTAAAGAAAAAAATTAAAAATTTGAATTTTTAACATATAAAATTAGTTCTATACTTTTTTTTTTTGCCAACGTCATTAATTTAATATATGTAATTAAGTAATATCTTAGCTTTTTTTAATTACTTTAATTAATAATTATATTTTAAGTATTATTTCTTTGGTAAATATTTAAATATTTTACTCATTTCATAAATTACTTAATAAATAGTAATTAATTATTTAAAATTATTTTGTGGACTTTTTTAAATAAAAAAAAAATTATATAAAATTAGTTTGTGGATGTTATGGCCATTCTGCATCGGATTGCTACAATCGTCTCAACTTGTCGTATGTAGGTCGGGTGCCTACTCAACGCCTTACTGACATGACTGCTCAACAATCCTCGTCTCTTCGTCCTCCTAATTGGGTTGTGGATACTGGGGCCAAGTCTCATATCACCAATGATATGGGTAACTTGTCTCTTTCCCTAGAATATCATGACCATGATTATGTCGATGATGTTCTTGGTGGAACAGGTTTGCCTATCACCCATATAGGCTCCTCTAGTCTTCCTCTTAACAACTCTATTTTTTCTCTTATTGATATCCTTCACTGCCCTACTGCTTCTTGTAATTTGTTGTCCGTTAATAAATTTTCACGGGATGATAACTGTTTCTTCACATTTTATCCCAATCATTTTTTGGTATAGGATATCTTGGTGTTTGTGTTGCTGGTCCTGTTTGGCATTTGCGCCTTGGTCATCCTTCGTCTCCTATTTTAAAATTTTTATTGTCTACAAATAAGTTGTCTATTGATGGCACTAAGACTTGTAATAATTTTACTTGTCATTGTTGTCCTTTAGGGAAAAGTGTTAAGCTAATGTTTCAGTCTTCTTTGTTTGTTACGCATGCTCCTATTGACCTCATTCACTCTGATGTATGGAGTTCATCTAATAAATCAGTTTCCGAATTTCAATATTATGTTCTTTTCGTTGATAATTTTTCTCGCTACTTGTGGATATTTCCTATGCGCTTGAAATTTGAGGTTATCTTTGTTTGTTAAATTTAAGACACTTGTTGAGAATTTATTTTCTACTAAAATTAAAGCCCTTTAAACTGATGGAGGTGGTGAATATACTAGCTGTATTTTTCATAAATTTTTAGTTACTCATGGTATTGACCATCACATTTCTTGTCCCCATCACCCTAAACAAAATAGTTTGGCAGAACGGAAATATCGTCATATTGTTGACACTGGGCTTACCTTGTTGGCCCATGCTTCCATGCCTCTTGCCTATTAGGCTGAGGCCATGCATACTGCTTGGGTGTGCATGTTTTCCATATCTTCGGTCTTACAATACTAATAAACTTACAATCTGTTAAGTGTGTCTTTCTGGGCTACTCATTAGATTATCAAGGTTATCGTTGTTTGTGATTATACTTTCGGCGTGTAATATTTATAACGTCTTTAAAATGTCTGCAAGCTAATATTTATTATCTAGGGAAATTTCTAAAAAGACACCAAAGGGATTCGAACCCCTACCATTTTAGTCCTTCAACACCTTAACCACCATATCACTTATGTTTTTGTGAAAATATGCTAAAATATTTATATATATACATGGTTTTGTTTTGAATTCTTTTTGTAGTAATTCATTATATATAAATGATTATGGTGTGTTTAATCTTCTTTCATTAATTACTACATATTTTCTACACTCACAGTGTTTGCCAGCTCGCTATATAATCAACTTAAATCAATTAAATCCATCATGCAATGCATTTCCTTCCAATTTTTTTATGATAAACTAATAGATAATTGACTAAATAAACATCCTGCAAAGTTTCAATAAAAATTTCCAAGTTTTTCTTACAATTTCCGTGGTTTTTATTCAATTTTTATCGATATCGATAATATCCCGATATTTCCATCGAAATTTCCGTGTTTTTGGACTACCGATATTTCTGATATCATCAATATTTTAGACTTTGGTTATAACTCAATCAAGTGGATAGCTCGGAAGAAACACGCGGCGTGTTGGGAATGAAGTCATGACTCATGAGGCTGACTTGGAAAAATCTCATTCCGTTGAATGAAGCATGCTGGAGATCCAAGTCTACTGTCAGCTGTGTTTGAACAAAATCAAGTGATTTGGTTTTTAACTCCAGAAAGTGGCCAGTTTGGTCATGGTTCAGGTGCGACACTAGCTTTTAATTTTGGCTTGGCGATAGCTTTTACATGTATACTTCTTAGCCAAAAGAAAGAAAGAAAAAAAAAGATAGCTTATAGGTGTGAGTTTGTGAGTTTTTCTGGTAGTAACAAGTAACAGTTATGAGCTTTATCGTCAAGATGAAATCATTTACCAAAGATGCAAAAAGGAACAAACTGAGACATCCTCTAGAACTTTTTTTCTACTTGTGGAAATGGGTGTTTGACCCACTCGTGCCAATGTTAAATTGAGATACATGAGTCAGGATTATTTATCTGTAAATTTTTGGGTTTATATTTTATGTTTTGTTCTGTTTTCTTTTCTTTGTGCATCATGCATGCTACACCTTGTAGATGGATAAAGAGCAATGTTGTGGAAAAACCTTGTATTGACATGGCATGACACATCAGTTGCCACATAAGGTGGTCAGTTAAGATGGTCAATGTTGTGTGTCTAAATAGCATTACTCAAACATAAAACATTTCTTCTCTTGAAATGTCTGTTTTGGCCTCGCTTAGTTGCTTGCTTCTCAAGTATAGGAAGGGACGGTTTTTGGTACTAAAGCATTTTATTTCAATCTAAACTTTCAAAATAAAAAATTATGTTTACTCAATTAATTTTTTAATTATCATCATTTTTCTACATTCTTCAATGCAACAATAGTTCGGAATAGTTTTTGACGACCTTATACTGATCAACAATGAAGACCTAACCCATACGTACACAATGCATTGACAATACCTTAATGTATGGCAGAGACAATCAAAGACAGTTAGCAGCAGAGATAAAGTAAACCAGGCAACCTCAACACATAAGATGAATGATATATAATCTGAAAAGGGTAAATGTTGCCAGCCCCGTTTGTGGGTGTCAATAGATTAAAATCAAATCAAAGGGTAACAAAATACACAATATTTCAACTTGAACTACTTTTGTAATTGAGTTCTCCAATTAATCATTATTATTCCAACAATGAAATGAATTTTAAAAGTTATATAGCTTAATCAGCCCCCAAAAAGATACCCTGCTGCTTGTTCTTCGTTACAGTCGAAAAATTTAAGAGCTTGTATTACAGCATCTCTCCCGAACCCTAGCTCAACAAGCTTTGCAACTTTAGCTTCAAAATCAGGTCCCTGCAGCCATACCATTATCATATTAGAATTTTCATACCATGATAATTGATCATCATCATCACCCCCGTCAAACTTCTCTATATGGTGACCCCAAAAGATTGAATAGCCCAAGATTGAGAACTTAGAACTGAGAGTAACCAAATGTAAACACACTACAGCAGAGGTTAAAGCTAAAGAAGTTTACCTCAGTCGGGTTAGAACGAGCACTTCCTGTGTCAATTTAACAGGAAAAGTGCATCAGTTATAGGTGGCAAAACATCATGCATGCACTGCTATCACAATTTACCTTTTAACCAATTCAACCAAACTAGAGCAAACAAACTAAATTGCATACACAAATCATTATCAAAATGTGAATCCCGTTAACAACTACAACCAATTTCCAAACTAACCAGACGATTGCCCTCCCGATGGTGAATTTTTGCTTGTATCTGCTGTTCCAGATGTAACCTGAAGAATAACACAATAAAGTAAAATGAGGAATATTGAAAGAAATAACAAGAGTGCCAATCCATACAAGAACTTACAAAATATACGTCAAAGGTTGATTGCCTTCCTAGATCTGAAAACTTTTTTAAGACCCTAAACATATCCTATAAATGCTATGATCCAAAAAAAACCATGCTATATCTGTACTTAACAAGAAAATTGGAGGGAAAGAAAAGATACGAAGAGAAAAGGGGAACTAATACAAGGACTTGTACAGGATGAAAGAGCAAATTGGTTTTTATGGTTAACACCAGAATATTGATCCTCCGTAGTTTTGCTATTAGACTATCCATGGGCTGTGCACTCGATGATTAGATATAGCAGCATTTTGATTAAAGAAATCAGACATTGCAAACATCAAGACCTGTTGACTTCAGGAAAAGCATAAGCTCAAGTAGACTTACAGGAGCTCCTGAGCTGGATGCTTCCTTGGCAAACCTTTCTTCATCCAGAAAACGAGATGGTATGTCCTTTTCTGAAATTGGTACATAGTTTAAGTTTTTTATTTACCAAAGGACAATATATTCCAGAATCTTTATAAATTCATACACATGAAGAGAGATAATGGGACCAACCTTGCAAGAATGGTACGGAAACTTCTCCACCACCAACTCTCAAAACACTATCCTTCAGATCTATAATGCACTGAAGACATCTGCAATGTTAGAAGACTAACAAATGCGGAAAACTACACTAATTAAAGCCATTGAGATGGACAACTATCACATAATTGGCGCATGTATCCTACCTGATGCTTACGGAGCATATCCAACCCAAAGAGGAACTCCATATTGGGAGCATCCAGAACCAAGAATGAGCAAGGATAAAATATATTCCCAATCTAAAGAAACAATGTTAATAAATAAGTTAAAAATCCTGTCACTCAAGTAACCATCTCAGACACAAGAGTATAATATGATATGAAATGTTTATCATAGGCAGCTACCTTGATTGGAGCTACATGTATCCGACCCAATATCTCTGATTGACCAACTCCATGAGCAATACCCTTGTAACGTTGATCTAAAAGCCTCAACAATCTAGATAATTCAATGCCCAAAACAACACAACATTAGGCTTTTACTTCTATAACTCTCACAGTATTCATAAAAAATAAAATATAAAAAACCAACAGAGTTTCTAATAAAGCAATCAAAAATTGTTTCCTCTTTCACAAAAATTCATCTTTAGGGGATGATCATAAAAGCCAAATTTTATTGTCTAAAATGGTAATGATATAAACTAGCTAATGAAGGCTACCGACTGAGATTGTTATAGAACAACTTCCTACTTTTCTCTCATGATCCAAACCAACATCAGCATGCTCTCAAAACCATGCATACATTTTGGTCGTGTTTGAATTTCTAAAATGAAACACAACCAAAAAGACAGTGGACCAACAGCCAACGGGCAGGATAGCATTGGCACCTAAATTGCTAATCCAAACAGGAATTAGATTCATGCATGATGACAGGTGCATATACATCCATGCAAATAAACAATAGGCATACCTACGCATGGATAAATAAATACTATACCTACATGCACAATCCAAAAGGGGTATATGATAAGATATTCGTCAACATGAATATGTTACATGAATCGCTTGTGCAGATCAATTATTACAATTAGTAGAAAGTAAATTACTGTCTAATAGTGAAAATAGCTCACCCACAACGCTCAGCGCAGCTTTTTGAAATAATTGTTGACTGCGCTCCACTGTCAACAAATGCCTGGACACAAGTGAAAATAAACAAAATATGTAACTTTTGTAGCTATCTGGGTACAGACAAAAAATTAAAAATTAAAACTTCTAATACTAGTTGAGATGAACAATCTGTACAGAAAATATGAAGGGAAGTCGAATAAAGTAAGACATCTAAGTAAGGCAACAAAAATCATGCATGTAGTCATCTCATATTACATTGAACTGAAGTGAAAGAAGAGTAACAGTGCACACCCTAAGCTATTACGTTTGAGTTACCTTTAACGGGACACCATTGACTTCCATGTCAACATACAACATAACCTGAAAAGTCACATAGAACATCAAATGAAATATCAAGAGTAAATTTTAAAAAGATGACAATGGTAGAAAAGGTTGACAATCATACATACCACCCTTGCAAAAGCTTCAGGGTTATGTTCCAGAGCCGCAGCCCAGTTTTCATCAATTCCTTTCTGCAAAGGAAATCAGCAAATATAAAAAACAGAAAAAGTACAAACTCTGTGCATTTAAAAATAAATTTTAAGAGAATGTTACTAGTGCAAGTATTTTATGAAAGAACAACTACAGCATCAGGTTATTAAAGAAATTGTGAAGTTGAATTATCATTTGTGAACCTCAGGCCTTTGACAAAGACAATACCACTAACCTGGCGAATAGCAGCTTCAATCTTCTTCTGTGCTTCAACATCAAAAGGATCTGCATAAAGAAGAGCCTGCTCACAAGATAAGGTGAAACAGAAACTCCATTAATTACAGAGATTATACATCATGCCAAAATCTATATTCAAGAAGTAACACACAGGATAAACAGGTATCATGACAGAAATAGACATTGCAATATCATTTACAGTTAGTTAATTACTATATTTCTCTGAAAATTCAAAAATTATCATATGGATGTAGGTATTTATTTGTAAGTACGGAGGCAGATTACCACGAAATTCATAGAAAGTAGCAACTATCCTACAATAACTATGAGAAGAAGGGGAAGAAAAGGTCACTTACAAGCTCCTCATCTTGTTGCCGTCGAAGTTCAGACTTTTGGCGATGACGCTGTCGTAAAAGTTCCTGCAGTCTATTGAGATCATTTCCAAGAATAACTTGTGCTAAGTCTGGGTCACTCTGTAAGTTCCACATAAAAGTAAGATTGTCAGAAACTCACTGGAAGTAAACAATCACATAAACTAAGGAATTGCATTTTGAAAAACTCTGCAACAGTTTATACCTTCAGAATAACAATGCTGAAACTAAAGAAAAAATTTAAATCATGTGCGGGTGTCCACAAACCTCATCCAAAACAAGAAAAAGAAATTGAAGTAAAAGAACAGCATGCTACCTGAAACAACTGTGCTATCAAATTAGAATCATTCTTAATGTGCTGCTGAAAAGCTCCTGGGTTTACCGCAGACCCATCTGGATTGAAGCTCAAAGCATTGGCTGAAGCACTGAAATATATTCAGACCCATTAAACGCATGGACATCATAAAGGGAATTGAATAGAAAATACAAAATGACAAAAACAAAGAGAACAATTGTAAATGATGAAGTGGGTCAAGTATACCTCGGTGCAGCATTGGATACCATCATTATCAAGTCTTCATCTTTAACGCCAAGGGCACTCAGCTTCTCAGAATTCCTCATCTCCCTCCCATTATATAGCAGCTGCTGTTGCTGAAGCAGCACCCGCGTCTGCTTATATGCATTGTAAAAACAAATCACACATTCACTTTACATTCATCTATTAATTAATTAATTAGCTAACTTAAACTAGTTTTCAAACCCAAAAAAGTTTCGAATTTTAAATTCTGCAATTATATTTCGGTTCTTTACTTGTTCCTCCGAGTCCCCAAGTAAAGAAAGATCCAAAATTTACTTCAATTGAATAGTATCTTTCCCCATACTTTCATAGTAGCCAACGAATTTATAATTCTACAAATAAAACTTAAAAATTAACGTAAAGAAATTCTCACCTCCACCTCCAGCAGAGCTTTCACATTTTCAACCTATCACAAAAAAAGAACTTCCAAATTAATTAAACAAAACAGAGCAGCAACATGAACTAACACACCCCAAATTACAGAGAGATATATACGCATGCAAGTAATTGAGGCTTTGTTGAGCTGAAATTAGGGTTTTACAGTTTCGTGAGGATCGACGTCTAAGTTGAGAATCTGTTCGTCCGCGGTCATTACAGTGATCTTCATCTGTGATTGGATCTCTGCGAGTCTTCTTCAATGGAGTTAATTGCTGAAGAAGTTGTGCAACTGTATTGTAGCTTTTATATCGAATTCGAGCTTCGGCTTTGGATATGGAGGAGCTTTGTTTTGTTTACTTCTAGTCCCACTTGGAGAAGAAAGAGAAAAGGGTCGTCTGTGCTACGAATTAGTTGCACCCGTCTAACTTTTGACGTTTTTAAAGTTTGCTTTCGTTTGATTGGATACCAAAACTTTCCGTCTTACTTTGCTTTCTCTGAAAGGAAGTTGTATTCTTTTGCTTTTCTTTTTTTGAATTTGTTTAAAACAAATTATTATTTCCTTATTTCCTTAGTTGTATTTTATTTTTTTCCTTCAAGTATTCATTTGTATAGGCTTTTTTTTCTTTTTTTCTTTGTTTTTTTTTGGTACAGAGGGGGGCTAAAGCCCGAAAGGCCGAAGTCTCCAAAAACACATGAAGGTCCGGACCAAAATCATAACTCTTCGCAGCCAGGGCATCCACAGCAGCTTTTTGTTCTTTTTGCTTTATATTCTTCTATCCTCCTTTTTTTTTGTTAGGAAGATAAAATTTATTAATTCCAAATAATTTTTTTTTAAGCTTCTTACTCTATAATTTCTCCTATCCTTAGAGACTTTTTGTTAGACATGGACTCTTATTTTATGTTTATTTTTAAAAAAATTCTTTTTAGTCTATCTTTATTTCTATTTGTAAAGTTTAATTGGACATGAACTTTTATTTTATTTTTACGTTTTTAATTATGTGATTTTTAATAGACTATTGCTTTATATAACGCCTCATCCTCTTCCTCTTCCCCAATAAATGAAAAAGAAATGTATTTATATAATGCTTCATCCTCTTCCCCCCATATGTAGTAATAGTAATGGAGCGAATCGGGGTTGGTTATGCGCTCAATATATGGATCAATCCGCGTTAATTAAAAATATGAATGGACTACCTAAATAAATTGATACCTACCAAAATCTAAATAGAAAACCATAAATACCAAACAAATTGGATCTATTAAGATAATAACAATACTATTTGTACCAAATTTGTTGACCAATTTACTAACAACCTCTCTAATAGAAGTGAGCCCTACTAATAGGGTGTTCCGCATTTACCATATATACTCTTAACAATAATAGTATTACTGGATAACAATGATACCATTTCCGGTCCATCCCAAATACCCATAACCAAAAGTTTTCCCAAACTAGTCCCCATTCCGGATTTTTGTTCTTCGTACCATACTCATTAGGGGCGAAGCCTCACGAATACAAGGGGAGAATTGTCATCCATATATGTGACTTAAAAGAAAAAACAAAAGTAAACATAAACATAAGAGGATATAAATTCTAAGAACAATCCTTACATCTACATCTGTAACCAATGTAAATTGTAACCCAGAAACCCAGATTAACATTAAAAAAAAATTAAAACCTAAGAACTAAAATTCAAATAATAACAAAGAAAGATGAGACAGATTCATTACATAATGCGTCAGAGAAAAAAGAAACAAAACCCTAAGAAATTAAGGTGGAGGTGCAGTGTAACCCAATAAGGGTTTTCTAGTCATTCCACTACGCCTACATAAAAAGCCATGAACATTTGGATCGCAGAAATGATGCACAGATTGCTTGATGATGAAGTGATGCCTCAGCTTCGTCAAAGGGCCGACCGCAAATAACACCCCGATGAACAGCAAAATTACTAATATGCACATACAGCACACGCACACCCTGCACATTTTTACTTGCTTTGAGACCCAAAAAATCAAAAGGCTCCTCTTTGAGAGATCTGGGGAGAATTTTGTGAAATGAAATGGGGCATTTGAGTTTTGGAAAATGTGGGGGAATTGTGGTTTTATATCGTTCCAATTTTATCGGATGTTGTTGGAGACTTCTCCAAATGTGGAGAAATTATGATATATGAGAGGATATTGATATATCTATATATAGGGTGTATATACCCTTTGTTTTGTGAGGGAGGGAGAGTAAATGTGTGCATCAATAAAATGCATCATGACCATACAAATGCTTGATCTGAACGGTTGAAAAATAAATCTTGAATGATTGGATTGTGTTGTGTTCTTTTATTTAAAAATTTTGATTTAATTTTAAGTATTATAAGTTAATAGAAATACACTATTGAACTTTGCCAAGTAAAAAAAAATATAGAATTTTAATATAAATTTGTTATTATTATACAAAGTATGCGGATCTCGAGCCTCTGCATTTAGCATCGGTGCATTTGCGTGCATTTACTAAAATCTTGACCATTTGATTAATCTAACGAGGTTAATTAATCCACATTAGCATAGTTATATTATCTTAAAAATCAAATGTTGTACCGTATCAATTACCCTTCTCTATCTTTAATGAGCGCAATCTTCCCCTTCTCCTTTCACACCCTCCCACCCCACGTCTCTTGTGAGAAACCCTCTTCCCAGACTCTTATTTCCATGGTTGTCATCTCTCCAGTGATCTAATCTCAACCCCTCCTTATCTAAGTCTCATATGCAAACAAGAAACAAAACCACGTACCTAATTAATTATAAGGCAAATAAAAGCAAAACCAATCAACAATTCAAAGAAATCAAATTTAAAAAGCTAGAGAATTTGTAAGCATCAATAATGGATTAATATAAAGTTAATTCTGTGTTGATAAAAGAGAATTCCCAAAATGAATTCCCACAACAAATTCAATTCCACGCACTTTTCAATTTCTCATCAACTTCCACACAAGTATGATTATATCCAAGTATTGATTATTCTATGGCAAGCAAAATTAACAGTGATAAAGAAAATTAAATACAACTTTATCATTAGGGCTGGACCTTTGAGCGATGGCAATAATAGGAATCTAGGAGCTGGGAAGAGGGAGATGTGAGAGAGGGAGAGAGGTTGTGAAAAGGGTGATATAGTACAACATGTGATTTTTTAAGATAATATAACTATGGTAATGGATTAATTAACCTCATTAGATTAATCAAATGGTAAAGATTTTAGTAAATGCACACAAATGCACCGATGCTAAATGCAGAGGCTCAAATATGCTATATTGCAAAGGAATTGTAACTCAAGTAGTTAAGAGTATTTACCCATGCACTCGAGGTCTTGGATTTGATTCCTCCTCCCCCAATATCGTTTGTATAACAAATATATAAAAAAAAATGCATAATTATATTGAAAAAAAAGGGCTAGAAAATAATAATAATTATTACTATTATATTAATGATATTTGCGTATTCATTAAACAAATTAATCCCTAACTTACTATGCTTTAGTTACAACTTCAAATATCAAATATCATTTTGTTTTCCTTAATTTTTCACATACATCGATCTTTCAACGATTCACTCTTCACTCTTCACATGCACCAAATCATTTTTTTTTGTCTCTTCTTGATGAAATAACTGTAATTTTCATGCAAAATGCTCTGTTCCATCTTCTTCTTCTTATTTAAAGATGTGCAAAATCATGTCTCCTCCTCCTTCTTCATGTTAGTTAATCTTAACTACTTCTTTTTGTTGTTATTAAAAACGAACTACCATGTCATCTTACATGCATCAACGAATTCCAATTTTTTTTTTTGCCAAATCAGAGCATTATTCGTGTTAGGGGTGGGCATCAATCCAGCCGAATTGATGAAACCGGCCGAACTAAACCATAATTACTTGTTTGGTTTGGTTCTGACAAAGAAAAAGTCAAACGGTTTAAAAGTCGAATCGGACCGTATATAGTTTGGTTTGGTTTGGTTTTGAGCTTTTATAAACCGGCTTAAATCAAACCGGACCATTTATGTGTATATTTATTTATTTATATTTTATTTTACATGTGTAATACTCTAATTAGTTAATAACTATATATGAATATTTGAATTAAGCTATATTAGTTAGTGAAATATAGGGTTTTATGACATTTTGAGCTTTAGGATGGTTTCGTACTCTAGAAAATGATTTATGTATGAAGCAAGTTGTGAATTTGTTGGTTATAATTGGGCTAGCAATATTGAAAAAATGCAAAAAAAAAAGAATTGGGCTTAGGCACAAACTGGCTGAACCAAACCAAACCAAAATGGTCTTAAATGACAACAAAAAAAAACACACATTTATAAAGAGATGAATTCTTTAGTATGAAATATGATCTGGGCCAATTTTATTTGGTTAAATTAGGTGAAGTGAATTATGGTTATGGTTGAGCATAATAAGAGAGATTACCCTTTTCTTCTTCTTGTCCTTTTTCATCAGGGCCATGAGAAGTTTTCTCAATTGACAAGAAATTAATGTTTTGCTAAGCACAACCATCACACACTCACACATAATCCCTCCAAATGGGGTCAATTCAAATCAAGCATACAAAAACATGGTAAAATAATTTTATTAAATTCCAAGATCATTTCTGATCCATCATCCACAAGTATAATGTAGCCCTATATTTTACCGACAAGACAACAATACAAAATCAAACCTCTATTAACCCCAAAAAATCCACAAAAAAAAAAAACAAAAAACAAAACAAATTAAAAAGAAGAGAGAAAGATAACAAATAGATTACATATTGTATAATATTAACAACAAGAAAACCCTTTAGAATGGCGAAGGTGCAACTTGATCCAAGAAGGATGGAGGCGCCGTGTCAAAGAAGGGTCTTCCAGGCCTGCACAGTGAGCCATACATGCTTGGCTCACAGCTATCCAGGAAGTGCCTGGTCTTTATAATGGTGAACCTCTTCACTGGCCCCAACCCAAATAGCAAGCAGATTGCTATTGTCAGGATCGCAGAGCAGAAAATGCACATGCAGATTCTAGCAATACACCCAACGCAGCACATCTTTGCTTCTCTTTCTCCTTTTCTTTTCTGTTTTTTGAAGATTAAGATCCAAGAAGAGAGAAGAGGGGTTTCTCTATCTCTCTCTTTTTTCTTTTCTTTGTCTTGTATTTGGCCAAACAAAAGATTTCTCTTTTTCCTTTTGGCCAAATGAAAGGTTTTTTTGCACGAGAACTTGGAATTCCCTGGAGATAGGGAACGCAAATGCTTATGACGATGTGTTTTTCGCTTTAAAGGATTCGCCAATACTATAATTAGTACGTACATTTTTGTATGATACGCGTATGTCCGTATTTGTAGAAATCGGTTGACAAATACCCTCGTTTCTTATAAGCCTTTCAAATTATTTCCGGAGAAAGAAAAAAAAAAACATTCTGGGTTTAATTTTTTTCCTCAAATCCAAGCAAATTCTATCAAAAACTAACAAACTTGACATGTTTTGACTAGCTTGTTACTTTGACTTGGTCCTTCTTGTAGAGAAATTATTAAGCATAACCTAAGGACCTATTCCTAATGTGGTGCGTTTCAATTCGCATACATGAACAATATTAGGCCCAAAGACTGATCCAAATTGGGCCCAAAAACCTCAAACCCTAAAGCCTCAGCTTTAAACTTTCCATCCATATTAGTTGATGTTTTACTAGCTTGCCCAAGAGGATCTGACATATGAACAACAATTTGATGTTCTATCGCAATGTGACAAAAGGACTCCGCCAAAATTTAACCCAAATCAACATGCCATGTTCATAAAGAAATGTATAAATCTTAAAAAAAGAAAAAAAAGAAGAAGCTAGCAATAGCCACAAACACGAAAAGGAACCTACCTAGTAAAAACCAAAAACTAACCCACCAATTCTGAATCTTAGATCGACCAAACACATGGGCAACCTCTATTTCTCTTTCCTTAGCGTCTACTTTTCCTTTTTGCACACAACAGAAAATTATAGAGGATGCTCTCAAAAACCACAATTTGCTTAGCAAAATTCTCAACTAATACTATTAGGAACCGTTCGGTAACGTTTTCAAGGCCCCGTTTTTATTTTATGTTTTCATTTTCTACCAAAAACGTGTTTGGTATGTCGTTTTCATTTTCACTAGAATTCGTTTTCTGAAAACAAATTTAAACTTATGTACAAAAACTGAAAACACCAAATTATATTTTTCATTTTCTACCCAATGTATTGCTCTGAATACTTTTTTTAATATTTTATTTTATTTTTGTTGGTCTGATTTTTCATTTTTCATTTTTTTCGTTGCACTTCATTATTTTATTTTGCTACACCAATGTATATTAATTTTATGATAAAACCATCATATATTATTTAATTTCATATTTATTTTTAAATTAAAGATAATATAATTTTATTATCTAGGTTTTTCTAACATTATAATTTTTTAATTATTATTCTCAAATTATACATTTCTCATTGTTTATAATAATTTTAGCCTTTATTTAAAATATTTTTTAGAACAAAAATTAGCAAAAATATACATGGAAAATAACTCACATATTTTCTGAATATGTTTTCTAATTAATCTACTATACGCATTTTCAAATTCTAAAAATGCAAATTCGTTTTCTCCTTTTCATTCTTAGAAAATATTCTCAGAAAATATTTTCCGAAAATGTTACTAAGGCCCTTATTGAAGCAAATTAACAATATCGGCATAATACATATGTTTTATGATGTCATCGCAAAGGTCATTTGCTATCGAAATAATAGGATAATATCAACATCATCAATAACACATCGAGATCATATCCACATTATCAAATAGTATATTGAGATGATATTTATTAATATAATGTACCATTCTCATTTTCATGTGCCAAAACCCCATAATTTTCTTGAGAGCTTCAAGGCTCTTTGTGACCGTTATGGACGCATTGATGATGAGAATATAGTGTGGTGCAATACCAGATTTCTTCTTTTGAAATTTAAAAGTTCAATGCGGAAAAATTGAAAATAAAAAATAAAAATCTTGACATATTGTAATCAAAGTAATATCCAAAAAGTTTCAGAGGAATCTGCCACACACAATTCAAGGTCCACTAAAATAAACATAACCAATGGAATAATAAACTGAAAGGGGGCAAAATACAAATAAACCTAAATTGCAAGAACAACCCACCCAAATCCCTAGTGCAGCAGCAGCAGCTGCTGCAATGACACCCAGTTACCCAGATTACCAGCAATAAAAGACCCAACCTAAAACCAAGAACAGAAAACTATAAACAAATTACATAGAAAAACAAGAGAATTAAAGAAACCCCCCTAGAAAGGTGCAGGTGCAGTGTAACCCAAGAAGGGTCTTCCAGTAGACCCACAATAGGATCCATGAACATTCGGATCACAGAAATTCACAGTGTCTTTGAGCTTGTGGAAGCCATGCTTGAACACTCCAAACCCAAACAAAAGCCCCACCATAACCACCACCAGTATCAAACAAGTGCACAGCATGCAAACTCTGCTTGGACAGCAGCACATCTTTGCTTCCCTTTGAGTGCTTCAAATATCTTTTTCTCTGGAATTTCAGACCCAAAAAAAGGGTTTGCTGTTTGAGATCTTGGGATTTGGGAGATGGGTTTTTATCTGGGTTCTGATAAATGTGGGGGAAGTTGGGCTTTCGACGTCCTTATCGGAGATGGAGAATGGAAACGCTTTGACGCTAATGGGTATCGTTCGCTTAAAAGGAAAGCAAAATGAATGCATATGGGGGATATGGGATTCGAATTTTTGCCTTTTTAATGGGTTGGATAATAGAAAGCAAAATAAAAGGGTATCTGTTATTTTCCTCTTTTCCTCTAAACAAGAAAGACGGTTTGCTTTTGGACGTTGATGACGTGGAGTGTTTCATAGAATATGGGAGGCCCGAATTTGGATGAATAACGTAAACATAATAACACATTTGATGAGAAAATTTGGTCTCTTTAGCTGCACCATACTCTTCTCCAACAAGTTATTTCAATTAAGAAATTGTTTTTTTCTTTTGTAAATTGATGCGAACAATTGTTTCTTAACAGTATGATAAATCGTGCGGTGTTTGTGTTGGCAGGCTGTTCAAAATTGGGTATGTGTACACTCACGCTCATTTCGTCTCTTAAATGTTAGGCCTAAGTACGTTTCAACTTATCCTAAATCATTTTTTTCTTTGTTGTAATTAAGTGTTGTTTTTCTTTTGGCCAAAGTTACGAAGTGTGAGAGAGATTTTCCCACACACATTACAGAGATGTCGTAGAAGTTCGAACACGAGACTACTAATTTGCAATAAAATGTCATTTTTTCATTGGGCTTACACACCATTGGCCCAGTGAAAAAGAGCCTTCTAAATTATTTGGAGCTTATTAATAAGAGATATAATTTAGATAAAGTCCTGAATACCGAAGTTCTATGAAGCCCATTAATAAGTTACACATGGGTGTCCTTTTGGAGCCCATTAATAAGACAGCTCAGGAGAGCTTCTAAAATTTGCAACCCCTATTAAGATTAAGCCCAGACCAAAACAATTACTAAGATTCACCCCAGACCAAAACATTTACTAAGAATAAGCCCAAAAAGCAGCCAGCTAACCCGCAGCCCAATTCTTTTGTCGACTGTCATGACACAGCACAAAAGTAACCCTACGGAACATTATGACAAAAGTTTTTTCGTTTTAAATTTTTTTAAAGCACAAAAGGTGAATTTTGAATAAAACAAAAATCCAAAAATCACAACTACATGCGCCATCATTCGTAATTTCTTACCCAAAAAGCAATTATCAAACTAACCAATTCACTCAAAAAATAAAAAACAAAAAACAAATTCACTTGAGAATTTTTAAAAGTCAGTGAAATAAGTCTATATAAACGCTCGAGATGGTTGTACTATGCAAGAGGTTTGAGCACGCATCTAATGAGGTTTCGAAACGGTTTTGTTTCTAAAATTCTAAGAAAAAGTAGCTACAAGTTTTTATTGGGTGGAGTAGTTTTATAATTTCCAATTAAATTTTTATCAAAGATGAGAAAAAGAAAGGAAAATATCACAAAAATATCACCATATACGTAAATAATATAGGGTGGGCATTGGTATATTCCAAAAGCTCCAAGCCCAAACTGCGATATTCATAAATTCTCGATCACCTTTTTTCACTTATATTTGGTCTCTCCCAAGTCCCCACTTCTTCACTCCAAAGTCCTCCTCCTCCTCATTGGGTTTTAATTATTTTCGGTGTGCGGCTTTTCAAGGCCTCTCTCTCTCTCTCTCTCTCATCTTTGCTCATTCACTCTATTCAGATCCCACTCTCTGCAAATCCCCTGATTCCCAATTCCCATCTCTCTCTCTAAAATCCATTTCCCTTTTCTTACAACCAAAAGAAGAAGGAAATCGAATCCCACTCTGCAATTCCAATTCACTTTCAGAGAGATATAGATCTGCTGTTCTCCCATGGCTTCTTCTGGGAATCCAAATCCACCGCCCCAGCAGCAACCCCAACCCTTTGACATGCAGAAATTCTTTAAACCAACAAACCCAACGCCACTCTCGCCCCAATCCCAAACCCAGAACAATTCAAACCAAAACCCTAACCCTAATTTGAGTTCCTCTTCGTTCCCAATCCCACCCGCCTCTTTCCCCCCGCCCTCTGGCCCTTACTCGTACCCTCCCCAGACGGCACCGTTTCACCACCACCAATTCCAATACCACCCTCACCCTCAGCCCCACCCCCACGGTAACCATCCCCAAATCCCTTACTCTCCTCAAGACCACCACTTGCTCCACCAGAGGTCTCTCTCATTTCCCACGCCACCCCTCCAACCCCCCTCTACTTACAACATTGCCACGGCCCCTTCCAACCCTAGCAGCAACAACAGTAGCACCTCCAATTCGAACCCCAATTCTGGTGCTCGAATCATGGCGCTTCTCGGCGCTCCATCTGGCAATCTAGAGTTGTCGGCTGCTCAGCCCGAGTTATCCGTCCCCCCAGGGGTCTCGATCGTGCCCACTATCCCTATGGGGATTCCACCCACTGGCCCCACTCGAATGCCGAGCAATAAGCTCCCTAAAGGCAGGCATTTGATTGGCGATAATGTGGTTTACGATGTGGATGTTAGGTTACAGGGTGAGTTTCAGCCACAGCTTGAAGTTACGCCGATTACCAAGTATGGTTCGGATCCCCAGCTTGTGCTGGGCCGCCAAATTGCTGTTAATAAGTCGTACATATGCTATGGATTGAAGCAGGGAAACATTCGGGTTTTGAATATACACACTGCATTGAGATCTTTGTTTCGAGCTCATACACAGGTTTAATTCAAATCTTATGTAGTAGTTTCTATTCACTTATATGTGTTTGGATTAGTTATGTGCTCATTAATTTTCCAAAAAAAACATTGAATGGTTGCTATTCCGGTGTTGATGCTTTGCATAGATGACGATTACAAATTTAGATTCTTTCCTATTTTCTGATGGCCTCAAAAGTTAGCTTCATGTGCTGTTATGCATAGCTTGTACGGAGAAATGGTAATGTGAGTAAAATCACTGGAGACAGTGAAGTTCTAGGACTAATGTTTAGAGTACTTAAGTGTTGGAAATTTCACTGCGTGAAAATGATATAATTTGAAATAGCTTGACATATTGAGTGTACTCTTGTTTGGTTAATATCATTGACGTATATTCAGTGTAACCTAATAACTTTGGGAGATCATATATTTATGTAAAGAAGAGCAGTGGAATAAAATTTGTTTTCTGTGATCTATGCTGCATTAAATGGTGTTTGTGTAAAGTGTGAACGCATTACGAGTTTTTAGTACCTCGTTGATCTAAGTGTTGTCTTGTTCTGTCAGAGGGTCACAGACATGGCTTTCTTTGCTGAGGATGTTCACCTTTTGGCTAGGTAGATCTTTTACCATATTTCTTTATTTTCTTCGTCTAGTTGTCGCTGTTTTATTTGACATACGTTTGTGCAGTGTGAGTGTAGAAGGACGGCTTTTTGTATGGAAGATTTCTGAAGGTCCAGATGAAGAAGGTACACCACAAATCACAGGAAAGGTTGTTATTGCCATTCAAATAGTTGGAGAGGGGGAAGCTGTTCATCCACGAGTTTGTTGGCACTGTCATAAACAAGTAATCCATTCTTTTAACGCCTATTATTAATCAACAGTTATAGCTCCATCCTTTCAATGGCCAGTCAATCATTTCTTATTTTTGGCTATGAAGTTGTTGGATAATATGTGTTTATGACTATTGTAAAATCTAATCTTACAGGAGGTTTTGGTAGTTGGGTTTGGAAAGCGTGTATTAAGAATTGATACTACTAAAGTCGTGAAGGGTGAAGTCCCTTCTGCAGATGAGCCTCTCAAGTGTCCTGTTGAAAAGCTGATTGATGGAGTCCAATTTGTTGGTAAACATGATGGAGAAGTGACTGATTTGTCAATGTGCCAATGGATGACCACTCGTCTGGTTTCTGCTTCTATAGATGGAACAGTATGTACTTTCACCGTTTTGAGATCTTTGTTTTAGTTTCTTTGTTTCACTTTACATATTATCTTGTAGCACAAGTAGCAAAACTTTAAACTGCATTGCATCTGGTTTAGTGGAAACTAATTTGAGGAAAAGTACCTGGTTAACCTGTGCATTTTTGCGTCATGGAAGAATGTGTTCATTATCTAGCATTTGCGTTTATATCATTAAAGAAGTTGGTATGAATTGGGATATCGTATATTTATCTTGGACATGGTAGGTTGATTTTTCATTTATTTTAAAAAAAAGGGAAATTGTGAACGAACAGTGGTGAGGAAGATAATAAAAGTTTGACTAAGTTTCACAGTTTCAACTATGGTAATTTTTCTTAGAATAATATGACAACTTTGAAGCATGAGAAGTGAGTAATCAGCAGTTCCTACAATTTCAAATTCATATGGGAGGCCTTTTCCTCTTGGAAAGTAGAAAGAAAACAAGGATAATACTGTGTTTGTTTGTATTATGTGAGTAAATAATGCGGGAATGCAACAACTTGACTCTTTGAATTATGAGTCATATGGATTTTGGTCAATATTTGTGGTAATTTTTTGCATGCGTTAACTTCCTTTGCATCTTTTTTACTGTTGAATTTATGGGTTATATAGTCTATGTTTGAGGTGAACCTTACCTGCAGTAGCTTCCCGTGCATGCTTTTGACTATTTGCTTTATGATTTATACGGGATTTTGGTCTAGGTTTGGGGTAGAATTTTCATGCCTGAGCTTCCCTTTCATCTGCCCCTCTTTTTTCCATAATTTTTCCTGGTCAAGTTCTGGAGATCTCCACCTTTTGGCTCATCTATGTTGATGTTGAAAATTTCTGTAAAAAGCATTTTTCTTAATACGATGTGGGTGGTCAAATCATTATAGTGTGATCCAGTTTTCTTCCCCATAATGCATTCTACCTTTGTAGAGGGAATTCCTATTCCCAGAGTGGCACTGAGAATTGTGTCTCTACTTCAACTTCAGTTTGAGTATTGATAGGATATCTATCATTCATGATTGTCTTATGGATATGAAGAGTGGTTGAGAGCCATGTTACACAGAGGTGCATTTTGGTAGAGAAATAATCATTGTTTATAATTCACGAGCATATGCTGGCATGCATCCATACATGTTTCCTTCAATATTTCTGATTGATACAAGTCGGAAGGGTTTTTGCTGATTCCACACAAAATGTATTTCTTGCTACAGATAAAGATCTGGGAAGATCGCAAGGCACAACCACTTTTAGTATTGAGACCCTATGACGGCCATCCGGTTTATTCAGCTACATTTGTGACAGCTCCCCACCGGCCAGATCATATTATACTTATCACAGTGGTAAATGGTCATTGATTTCTTTACATGTATGATAAGGTGGTGCAGTTGTGTTTCTGCAGTCTACCTTCGGTAAAAGAATGCTCTAATATTTTGTAGTAATGATATAAAATTGTTCTACAGGGGCCACTTAATCGGGAAGTGAAGATCTGGTCCTCGGCGAGTGAAGAAGGCTGGCTACTTCCCAGTGATGCTGAGTCATGGAAATGTACCCAGACATTAGAGCTGAAGAGTTCTGCTGAACCCCGAGTAGAGGGGGCATTCTTTAATCAAGTCATTGCTTTGTCACAGGCTGGCCTTCTCTTACTTGCAAATGCTAAGAAGAATGCTATTTATGCTGTGCACTTAGAATTTGGTCCTGATCCAGCAGCAACTCGCATGGATTATATTGCAGAATTTACTGTTACCATGCCTATTTTGAGCTTTACTGGGACAAGTATTTCACCTCATGGTGAACAGATTGTCCAGGTTTATTGTGTCCAGACACTAGCCATTCAGCAGTATGCTCTGGAATTATCCAAGTGCTTGCCTCCACCACTGGATAATGTGGGTTTAGAAAAGTCAGATTCCAATATTTCACGTGAACCATCAGGGGCTGAAGGATTTGCTTTGGATCTATCTGGAAGTAAACCCACAGAGATGCTGCTAGCTAATTCAAATTCAGCACTTAAACAAACCATACAAGATAGTAGTTCTGAGGGTGCAGTTTCCGTGAGGTATCCTGTAAGCTCTAGTTCTGTTGAGGCAACCACTTCGAAAGATATTACCACATCAAGTACAGAATCAAGACCTGTTGCATTGGCATCAGCTAATAGTGATTCAGATGTTGTTTTTGTTGCATCACCACCTATTCCCTTGAGTCCTAGGTTGTCTGGGAAAGTTTCTGGTTTAAGAAGTCCAACAGATGGCTCTGACCCGGGTCGCACACTCAATGAGCATGGTGGAGACCAACAAGTCAATGATTACTCAGTTGACAGGCAATTGGACAGTGTTCGTTCAAACTTGTCAGATGTGCCTGCAGTGGATGATGATTCAAGAAATATTGAGCAGAAAGTTGGACAAGATGATTTATCTAGTGTGCTCAATCCTCCGATCATGTTTAAACATCCAACCCATCTTATAACTCCCTCTGAGATTTTAATGGCTGCTTCATCTTCTGAAGGTACTAATCCTATTGACAGCAAGAATGAAGGGGAGGCAAACATCCAAGATGTGATTGTTAACAGTGATATGGGTAATGCTGAGGTGGAGGTTAAAGTAGTGGGTGAAGCAAGATCTACTCAAAATGATGAATTTGGATCTCAAGGAGAACCTCAAAATGTTGTTTCAGAAAATAAGGAAAAATTCTTTTGCTCCCAGGCATCAGATCTTGGAATTGAGATGGCCCGAGAATGCTGTGCAATCTCAGCCGAAACATATACTACAGATGAAGCTCGGCAAGTTGATGATTCCAGCATGACAGAACCACTGACCCAGTCTAATGCTGGAGACGAAGACCAGGAATCTGCAAAAGATGTATCTGGGCCATGTACCACCCCAACAGTTTTTCAATCGCATACACCAACTACAAAAGTGAAAAAACAGAAGTGGAAAAACTCTCAAGCATCAGGTCAATCTTCCCCATCACCAAGTATGCTCAATTCAATAGATTCCAACAATGAACCAGGAGGGAGTTCAAGCCCCCCCTCTGCAGAAGCTGCATTTCCTCAAATTATGGCCATGCAGGATACGATTAATCAGGTGATTGCTAATTTCCCTACATGAATGTATGACATGTGAACTATTTTATAATTCTTTCCTTTCCTTCGTCTTGATATGGTTTTCCTTGTCCTATTTCACATTTTTGTATACTTTGGCAAAAGTGAAGAAGTATGTTTGCTTTTTGTGACTTGTGTGGTAGATGTGTACTCTGGACCTGTCTTTATTGGCATCATCCTTTTCTTAACTGTGGCTCTTTTGTCATTTGTACAGCTACTGACTATGCAGAAAGAACTGCAAAAGCAGATGACAATGATGGTTGCAGTCCCAGTTACAAAGGAGGGGAGAAGATTAGAGGCGGCTCTTGGGCGGAGTATGGAGAAGGCTGTAAAGGCCAATAATGATGCTTTATGGGCTCGTTTTCAAGAAGAGAATGCAAAGAATGAGAAGTTATTGCGAGACCGTAATCAGCAAATAACTAGTTTGATCAATAACTTCATGAACAAGGACTTTCCAGTCATGTTAGAGAAAATGGTGAAGAAGGAATTGGCGGTCGTTGGACCAGCTGTTGCTCGTGCTATAACTCCAGCTATTGAGAAAGCAATACCTCCAGCTATTTCTGATTCCTTCCAGGTTAGAATTTTAAATGATCTGATGCATTCTATAATAAAGTTGGTGTATAGTTATCTAATTGATGCTTGTGTGGCAGAGAGGAGTTGGTGATAAGGCAGTTAATCAATTGGAAAAATCGGTTAACTCCAAACTTGAAGCAACTGTTTCCAGGCAAATCCAGGCGCAGTTCCAAACTTCTGGCAAACAAGCTCTTCAGGTATGTATTATGTCATCTTGTTAATTTCCTTCAATTTTTAATCTGAATATCTAATGCTTTACCTTGGTTTGGAAAACTTCTGTACTAATGTTTTGACCTTTGCACATTAGGACGCTCTTAAGTCTAGTATGGAAGCTTCAGTGGTACCTGCATTTGAGAAGTCATGTAAGGCCATGTTTGAGCAAGTAGATGCTACGTTCCAGAAAGGAATGCTAGAACATACAAATGCGGCACAACAACACTTTGATTCTGCACATTCGCCACTGGCACTTGCTTTAAGGGTGTGTATGTCCAATCATTTTCTTTTAGATAATTTTTTGTGGAAAACTTCCCTTCTCGTATACTCAAAGAGGTATAATCCTTGGGGGCCTTGAATGAATTCAAATAACAGGGAGCCAAATATGTGTTTTAGCCTTTGCCTTGATTACTGTGGTCATAGTTTTGTGTGCACTTATTGATGTTTTATTTATTTATTTTGGCGTATTTGCAGGAAGCTATTAGTTCTGCGTCATCGGTGACTCAAACCTTAAGTGGAGAAGTGGCTGATGGTCAACGTAAGCTAATAGCTCTTGCAGCTGCACGAACAAGCTCAAGTGCAGTAAATCCCCTGGTCACACAACTAACCAATGGACCTTTGGGTAGTCTCCATGAGAAGGTTTGTTCCATCTTAAATCCAAATATTGTATTTTATCTGATGACAGTTGGTCGGTTGGCTACTTTAATTATTAGAAATATTTTGTTTATGCATGGTAGGTTGAGGTGCCTTTGGATCCAACAAAGGAGCTGTCTAGGTTGGTTTCTGAACGGAAGTATGAGGAGGCTTTCACTGGAGCTCTACAAAGAAGTGATGTGACCATCGTATCGTGGTTGTGCTCTCAGGTATAGTATACTTTGGATGATATTCCTTTGTGTTTATCTGAGCTTGCGATGGACTATCTGCTTGACAACTTGTTACCACCTTTTCTAGGTTGATCTGCATGGGGTATTGTTGCTGAATCCTCTTCCTCTTAGCCAAGGGGTGCTTCTCTCTCTTTTGCAACAGCTGGCCTGTGATATCAGCAATGATACATCGAGAAAAGTTGCATGGATGACAGATGTGGCGGCTGCCATAAACCCAGTAAACCAAATGATTGCAGTGCATGTGCGGCCTGTCTTCGAGCAAGTTTATCAGATACTGCACCATCAACATAGCTTGCCAACAATCTCTAGTGCCGAGCACACAAGTATTAGACTTCTGATGCATGTCATCAACTCCATGCTGATGGCCTGTAAATGATGATCATACTTCTATCTAAAATCCTACCATTGTGCAAGAAACATTATTTATATGGACATTTTGTACAAATCTGCTGTGAGATGTTTTCTTATGAAAGCATTACCAAACTTTGTAGAGTCAGTTTTTTCCTGGAATTGGATACGTAGGCTTAGGTACTCTGGGTTCTTGCTTTTGTCTACTGTATTTATTTCTTGTTTTTTCCTTTTTCATTTTCTTTCTTTTACTCGTCATAGCTCGCTGTAAACGTGAAATTTTGTATTTTCTTCACACCTGTGAATGCGCATCTTTGTGTTTTCTTTTTTCTTAGGCAAAATTGTATCAATGGTCTTTCAAATAAGATCCTACTTTGCTTTTTGCATGTTGCAAAATTGTTATGGCCGTCCTTCACTTAGTTAGATCTTCTCATGTTGCATCATTAGTCTTTCTGTCAAAATTAAGGACAAATTGGATAATATTTTATTAGATAAATCAACACATTAAATTAAAAAAAACCAGTCTTCTCATTTGAGTGTGTGGGGAAGGAGGGTTGATCAAACGGTCCGAGAAATGTCAGCTATCCACTTCTCTTTGATACTTGATACTGGTAGTGATCTTAATTGGGTTCAATGTGCACCTTGCTATGCTTGTTTTCTAGACACAAGCTGCCAGGATCCGCAGTGTAGATTGGTTTCGTCCCCGGATTCCTCCTCAACATTGCAAGGCTGAGAATCAAACATGCCCCTATTTCTACTGGTATGGGGACAGTGCCACACAACCGGTGATTTCTTCCCTTGAAACCCTTACTGGGAATCTCACATCACCTACTGGGAAGGCAGAGTTTAAGAGAGTGGAGATGTTTGGATGTGGCCATTAGAATAGAGGTCTGTTTAATGGGCCTGCAGGATTATTAGGACTTGGGAGAGGGCCTCTCTCCTTTGCCTCTCAGCTTCAATCACTTCATGGCCATTCATTCTCATACTGCCTGGTAGATAGAAATACTGACACCAATGTTAGCAGCAAGTTGATTTGGGGATGGTTTGGGTTGCTGGGTTGGTGAGTTAAAAGGGATGGGCACATTTGGGGGGGAAAGGGTCATGTGCGGCTGGGTTTGGGTAGAAGGAGGTGGTGGCTATTTTAAAGTCATATTTACCCTTAAAATATCTATCATGTGCATGACATGTGATTAATTTTGACGGAAAAACAAACTGAATTGACGTAAAAGACTAGTGGTGCAACACCAAATCTAATTAAAGGACAGCCATAACAATTATGCGACATGAGAGGCATACTCACTCCTATATAAAAATTAAAAAATAGTTCAAACTCAGTTCTTACATAAAAATAACAAAATTTTTTATAGCCAAACAATGGTCTCATCTTCTTGACTAACATTAGAAAGAAAAAAATAGAAGACTAAATTAAATTATTTACAAATGACTTCGTTAGTTCAACTTATTTGTAGTTAAATTGCACGATTTTAATTCGAATAATTAAATTAAAAATAGTTCTCCGTTTAACTTTAAAAATTCATTTGTGTACAAACTCAGTTCAAAATTTATTGGCGTACGTCGCAGTGATAAGCATTTACAGAATTTTTCTCTACATTACATGTTTTCCTTTTTACACGTAATTAGATTCTAAAATTTCTTTTTCCTTGTCAAGAAAGAGAAACAAAAACAAATTAGATGCGGCCTACCAAAACAAGAAAAAAGAAAAAAAAGTGGCCCTATGGTCGTTTTCTTTCTACCAGCACTGGTCCGTTTCCCACCTCCGGGTCGGATAAAACCCATCTGGTCGAAACCCGACCGAGCTTCTCCGACGAACACGATGTTGAAGATGAGCACTCAACGACAGGTCGTACATGGCCCTGGCGGCCGGATCGGACAGCGTGGCGTAGGCGTTGTGAATCTCGATGAAATCTCGGCCGTCCGATTCGGACGGCGAGGCGTCGGGATGGTAGAGCTTAGCCAAGCTCCGGTACGCCGACTTGATCTCCGTCTGAGAAGCGTTGTCCTTGACTCGGAGGACCTCGTAGAGACTCGTTGAGGCTTTGGACCGCGGCCTGGTCTCGGTGAAAGCCCCAGCCGCGGAGACCCTGAGCTGGCGGCGCTGCCGAGGCAGGGGCATTTTGGGAAGAGAGGTGAAAGAGAGAGGGTTTGAGGCAGAGAGGGAGAGGGTTGCAAACATTGGAATTTGGGGAGTTTATGGAGGGCAATTTGGGAATGGAAGTGTAGAAGTAGAATTTGGGGAAGAAGAACAAGGAGGGTGTTGTATTGTGTGAATTGAATTGAAATTTGGAAAAGGGATATAAATAGGAGTCAAAATGGAAGAAGCAGCAAAAACTGTGTGTGGTTGCGGTTCCAGGGGGCGCTGACATGGCACTCACTGCTCTTTCTACTTTAATATTTACCATGCTTCTAGAACATCATCATTTTTTTAACAACGCAAATATCTTCTATTTCTGTAGTAAAAATTAGTTTAACTTTTTTACTATTTTACTGTCCTATGAGGATGGTAAATAAAATGTTGTTGAGCTTGAGCTGGCTGCTTTTACATTTGAAATTATAGACGTGTGATTGTCATACTTAAATTAGTTTTTTTTTTCTTTCCAATTAATCTCTGGTGTTAAATGAGATTTTGATTTTGGTAATTTGTTAGATGCATTATTAACTTAGATACATTATTTTAGGTATATTCATAAGTACATTTGTATGTATTTAGTGTATAATCGCGATAATGAACTTAATCAAAGAACCGAGATCAAAATCTAATATGACACGTAAGTTTTTTATTTTTTGTTTATTGAAATATATGATACCTAAGTTTAGTAAAAAAAATTATGAAAAACGTGGATGGAGATTCTAAAATTGTCATTGATATTGTAAAAGCAATATTATTATTTTTTAAGATGAAGATGGTTAAATAATGTAAAGTCTTACATCAGAGACTTGACAAAATAAAATGCAACATAAGTAAATTTCAATATGAATAACATCGAAGTAATTTGAGTAAGTTGAGAACAATATCGGTTTGAATAAGCCGGGCTGATCTCTTTCAACCCTTAAAAAATTATGAGCCTTGCTTAAAAACTTTGCCAATTTAATGTTGTTGTAGGGCGCACCCCTTTGTTTTGAAGTTCGTGGGAATGGAAGGGCTTCGCACGTGACAGAGTTTCTAGAAGGCCAAGAAGAGAGAGAGAGAGAGAGCCACTGTTAATTCTCAAATGCAAGAAAGAACAACCCATAGATCAAGTGAGGGTTCAAGAAAATGACCAACCACCAGATTAGCATGTGCCTCTCAATTTTTATTATTTCTTTTTATATTTCCTTCCTTTTTTCTTTTCTTTTGTTTGGCTCCAAATAAGAAAACAAGAGCATGGGCCTGTTGAATTGACAGTGAGATGAGAGAGCTTTCTAAACCAATCTGAGTGGTTGCGAACATAGGTTGCCACGTGTGAGAAGAGAAGGGATTGGCTTCTAGAAGCCCCTTTGTCTTGCTCACTAAAATTCTACTCGCTACGTCTCCATATACTACTGGCATTAACTGGGATGTGGGGCAATGTAAATTATGGCAGAAAGATGTGTTTTGATATGGATAAAGGGTTGGCACTAGGTCACATGCCTTCTAGAAGGGCCTTTTTTTTTTCCTTTTAACTTTTTGCACAAATAAAGAAAGAAGTGAAGAAATTTAAAATAAATAAATCATAGTGGAAGGTTTCCTCACTCTTAAATTCTAAACTACTCTAATATACGAAGAGGAGGATCGAACTAGGATGCAAGAGGACGGACACTCTTAAATGTATGATTCGATAACTTTGTGTCAAAGAAATGGGATTTACTTTGGTTTCCTTTATATGTAAATTTTGGGGTGATTTGTCTTCATGTTCTCTTAGAAACATTTTGTTTTCTTGTTCTCTCATCTTCAAATGTGACAAAGGGTCTAAGGTATGATGAGGATGATAATAAGAAAACAAAAGAGAGGGAATTAAGTCAATAAGATATGATCCCTAGTTATCTCGAATTAGGCCCCAGTCAAGTTCCGCCCGAACTGAAATCTGGGGCCAAATACCACCCCATTTATCAATCAGCTCAAAATTCCACCCCTTCCTATACATGGGTTGGGAATGGTTTTGGGCTAAAATATGAGATTAATTAGGTTTGGACCCCATGGATGGAGATGCCCTTGATGGGGGGTTATATGCTCCTAATGCATAGGCAAAGAAAAACTATAAAGCACTATCCTGATCAGTTGGCTTAGAATTGAGAGACCTCATATTGAATTATTTCCTTTTCTTTTTCAATTTCAGATAAACTTTAAAAATTACAAAAGCATCAACATTCTCAATCATTATTTCAAAAAAAGCAATCTACTGAAGTTTAAATATAAGATTACCTAACAAAAAAAAAAATCTACTGACGTTTAAATATAAAATATAAGATTGTCTAAGATCAAGATGGTGCAGCTACTGAACCTTTGGATGATTCTTCAAAATCTGGCGTTGCGGAGCTTGACACTTTAAATAAAATGCCATAGGAATAAAATGCTGTCTTCACACTTTAAATAACACATCCAAAATATTTTGAACTAAAAAAGCTGAGTAGATACAATACAACAAGTCTGTCTCAATACATTTACTAACCAAATTCTATTGCATGAACTCTACAATAAGAGCAATTTATAATTTTTCTTTTTATAAGAAACACAAATTTAAGTTACAAACTTTCATTAAAACACTGTTGATAATAATAGTGAAGATTTTTTTGTACCATTCCTTATACTCAGTTCTGATGATTTGACTTCAATAGCAGGCAAAGTTGCATCTACTAGATGGTCACTGGAACCATATTCCTTTGAATTCTGCTAACAAAGAGGAGCCTTTGGTTCTGACGAAGACATAAGAGCAACCAATTGCACCACTAAGAGTATATCAAAAAGCAAAAACTTTCACTATCTAGAATCAAAGCACGATAGGTAAAATGGAGGGTTTTGTTAAGCATATATATAATGCGATCATCATATTTTGCTAGAATTGAAAGCTAAGTTTATAGAACATCTGTTAGACCAGCCATGCTATATGGGACTGAATGCTGGACAGTTAGAAAACAGACATATTCATAGTTCCTGTAGGCACATATTAGCCAAATGTTACAACCAGCACAGTGATATGCACACCTCTATCTCTATTTCTCTAACGGCATATTAACCATTATTAGACACAAATTCTTAAGAAATCAGATTAAAATATTTGTCACCTTTTGAATCCTTCAAAATTGGGGATGTTTGCTGAATAATCTTTGCTACCCTTCAAAATTGAAGGGTCATTGCCTCAACCTCAAAAACCTAGTTGGGAGAGAGCCTAGAGAGAAGAGAATAAGGCGGGAAACAGGGAGAGGAATGGAATTAGATGAATTAAGAGTCTCATGATCTCTTCTTCTATATATCTAGTCAAATAATATGGGTAGAATATTTTCAGATATATTTCATTCTCCGAAAGGAGGTATTTATAATACAGGTTACAAACCCTAGTAGGGTTTAATTAGGAAATAAGTGGAATCCTAATTACATAATATCTACACAAAAGGTAAAATAAATAAAACCCAAATAGAATAGGACTAGGACTCGCCAACACTCCCCCTCAAGTTGGAGCAAAGACGTCACGCATGCCCAACTTGTCAAGCGAGTTGAGAAAGATACTTGTAGAAACAGCTTTCGTAAGAACATCAACTAACTGATACTCTGAACGGATGAAGGGGAAGGACACAATCTGCGCATCCAACTTTTCCTTAATGAAATTTCGATCAACCTCCACATGCTTTGTACGGTCATGTTGTACAGGATTATGAGCAATTGCAATCGCAGCCGTATTGTCACAATATAACTCCATGGGTTTATTAGGCCCAAAACCAAGGTCTTTCAACAATCTTCTCAACCATAGTAACTCAGATACACCATGGGCCATTCCCCGATACTCGGCCTCAGCACTAGATCTAGACACCACCTTTTGTTTCTTGCTCCTCCACGTAACAAGATTGCCACCCACAAACATAAAATACCCAAATGTCGAACGCCTATCAGTGGCTGAACCTGCCCAATCAACATCTGTATACCCTTCTACATTTGTATGGCCATACTTGGAGAAAATTAACCCCTTGCCATGAGTTACTTTCAGATACCTTAAAATACAAGTCACAGCCCCCATATGATCTACACTAGGAGAGTGCATAAACTGACTCACTATATTTGTAGCATACGCAATATCTGGACGAGTATGAGCCAAATAAATCAACTTCCCCACAAGTCGTTGATAACGTTCTTTATCAATTGGAACTTGATCGGGATACAACCCTAACTTGTGATTCTGTTCACTAGGAGTATCAATGGGTTTACAATCCAACATTCCAGTTTCTGCAAGCAAATCCAAAACATACTTTCTTTGGGACAAAAAAATACCATGCTTAGATCTGGCAACTTCAATCCCAAGAAAGTATTTCAAGTCACCTAATGATTTCATCTCAAATTCAGACGCAAGATATTTCTGAAGACTCTGTATTTCCACCTGATCATCTCCAGTTACAATCATATCATCAACATAAATTATTAAAG